AACTCCCCTCTTCTGCATTCCATTTCCTCTTTTGGGGGAGCAACAATGCACCTCAGGTCAGCAGTAAGCTGGGAAAGATGGCTTGGCGGTTGTGGTTGTGGAATGCTGAGATTCCATGAGAACCTCATGGATTAGCGGCTGTCACTCTCAGGAGGGCAATAACCAGGTAGATGCAGTTGAACTTTGAAAAATCCAAGTATCAAGTTGATGACAGCCACTGAGGTAAGCCTGGAGAACACAGAGTAGGTCCCTATTGGAGCTCTGGTTTGCTGTGTGGCCTGAAGCCTGGCCTCAGTTTCTTCAGCAGAAAAATAGGGGTTGAATTGAAGGATGCATGAGGATCTTTCCTGTTCCCCGCCCCTGCTGCTCCATGTGCAGCCTGGGTCATGCACATGACTGCAGGACACCACCTTTTCAGCAGGCACAGTGAAGCCACCTCCTGTTCCGTGAGCAGCCATTTAGGCACCGTCCCGCCCCTTTTTCAAAAGAGCAGTAGCATTCATTCATCTTATTCCCGAACACTTCCCTCCACTGTCCTTCCATGCTCAGACACTGAGAACTCACAGTACCTCTTTTTTTTTCTTTTTTTTTTTTTTAAGACTGTAACATGTTTACAAATCTAAATGAAACTCTATTTCTAGAGTCAGACTTGTGGTTTCCAGTGGCTTCCTCCTTCTGCTCCTGCCTCCATCCAGGGAGCCCACTTCTCAACTTTCTGTTTTCTTTAGAGAGACAAAGAGTCTCCCCAGCCTCCCATTGCTGAATTCCTGTTAACCTTTCATTAAGCCTGCTGACAGCTGGCTTCAGCTCTTCATGAGTTAGTTCAACACATTTCCATTCAATGTGTCCCTCTTGGCATCATTAAGGTTTCTGCCAGGTTCTCCACTCGCTGTTTCCTCTGCAAATGCAAATCAGATTCTGAGTCAATAATATGGGAAAAAGGGAAGACGGAGCTACAAAGAGGCTGGGATTGGAGAACCATTGAACCATTGATATTGCACTCAGGTTGCCGGGGATCTGAGCAAACTAAATCTACTTAGATCCAGGGCAGGTCAGTGCCACAGCGCCTTATGCAAGATGTCATAAATTACAGCCCTCTCTGAGAAGTTCAGGGTAGTGGTCCAGAATGCAAGGTCCTTCAGGCCTGTTCCAATTCCAGAAGTTGGACCTTGTGACCTTGGGCAAGCTCCTTCACCTGCCCTGTGCATCTGTTTTCTCAGCTCCAAAGCAGGAGGAATATATCTGCTTCATTGGACCTTCTTCTGGGATCCAGTGAGATAATGGCTTTGAAAGACTTACTAGAATACCCAGAATACAGAAAATACTCATTAAAATTTGTGTGTTACCCGTTTCATTTAGCCTAGAAAGGCCAAGGTCAAGACTGAAGAGTTAGGCTGCTTTGAATCTGCAAGGTTTGCTTCTGGACTTACCCATAACCATCAGCAATAAGAGCCACATGCTGCTGTCCTGCCTCATGGAAACTGGGAAACAGCATGATTCCATTGTAAGGCACTTCCCACGTGTGTTTGGTCTCATTTAGACTTTAAGCTCCTTGTGGGAGGCAATTGTCCCTCCTGGGTTCCCATCCCCAGCACACAATAGATACTAGAAACTTGTTTGGACACAGCTACCAATTCATCTCAAGTACCTGAAGAGAACAAGAGGAGCAACTACACCAACAGCTTCCTCTGATCAAGGAGTCTAAGCATGGTATATTTTAAAATTAATTTTAAAAACCCACCTCTTTTTTAAAATTTGTTCTAATTAGAAAAACAAAAACAAAAATTCACCTCTTACAACTACTCCCAAACTTATTTCCTTTATAGCCCATAGTCATGTATTGTTTGCCCAGGACATTGTTTTAACTAACTTGGAATTTTCGGGCCCTTAACTGGACACACAAATACTCCAATTGCCATAGGCCACAAGACCTCCCTTTGCTTTATTCAACTGTTATCAGCTACCTGGCCTGTGACCAGTTTGTCACTGTGTCTCAAGGCATACCCTAAACCTGCTTATTCTTTTCTTTTTAATTCTAATTTGTCGTATATGACAGCAGAATGCATTACAATTCATATTGCACATATAGAGCACAATTCTTCATATCTCTGGTTGTATACAAAGTATTTCACACCATTTGTGTCTTCATAGATGTACTCAGGGTTATGATGAACATGAGAGGATTAGACAAACTCTAGATAGGGCAAAGGGGTGGCAGGCGAAGGAAGGGGTCATGGGGGTAGAAAAGACGGTGGAATGAGATGGACATCATTACCCTAAGGCTGCTTATTCTATCTAGGGCTGAGGGCTACAGATGGAAAGGGCTGGAAGCCAGGAGACAGGGATCTCAGATCTGCATTGAGGAAGGCAGTTCTGACATAGTGTGCAGAACAGACAGCAAAAGGAGTTTGGTGGTGGTGACAGTGAGAAAGCTACTGCAAAGGGTCCAAGCAGCAGTAAAGTGACAGTTTCAGTGAGGGGAAGCAGCAGGACTTCCACCTGCTGGTGCTGGAAACTCCAAACCCTTTGTCAGGCTGGGCTCATGGTAGAGGCAGAATTTTTCCTTGAAATCTCAATCCACCTGTTAGAGATGATTATGGTATAAGAGTTTGCAAACTCCAACATGTATCAGAATCACCAGGAGGGCTTGTTAAAACCCAGACCTCTGGGATCCACTCCCAGAGCCTCTGATTCAGTTGCTAGAGGGGAGGGTAAGAATTTGTATTTCTAACAAGTTCTGATGATGCTAAGGGTGCTGGTTTGAGTGCGTGGTGGTTTGAGAATCGCCAGGCTAGGGCAGCAGTTCTTAGCCCTAGTTACATAGTAGAACTGCTTTGGGACATTTAAAAAAAAAAAAAAAGATGCCTAGGTCACACCACAGAATAAAATAATGTTTTAAAGGGTAAGAGTCCGGAATTGGCATTAAAAAAGAAAGGGGAGGGGGGAGAGGGAGGTAGGGGGAGGGGAGAGGAGGGGGAGGGGAGAGGAGGGGGAGGGGGGAGAGAGGAGTAGATTATAAAGTTCCACTAAGACTGAAAACTACTAGGCTAATAGTTCAATATTAGTCAATAGTTCAATACTACAATTGCACATAGAAAAAATTCTTATTTTGAACCAGGAGTTTCAGAAAAATATTTGGGAAATGATTGAAGATGGCTTCTTGCAAAGAAGAAAAATAGTCGTTGAGCTTAAGCATTGTGTTTCAGAGGGATCTGCTATCTTCTTCTTCTAATCAGACCCAAGTTGGTAACGACACTGATGGTTATTCAGGAAGATGGATGGGGGCAGGAGCTAAATGAGGGTGGGCATATTGTTGGCTCACACAATACTGCAACCTGGCTACCTTGATCAAGTCCTCTAGCCCCCTCTCAATTTTCTAGATGGGGAAATTGAGACCCTGAACCCGACTTTAGACCCAACTTCACTCTATTTCTAAATAAATGTTTGAGTTCAACACACCAGTCAGTGATCATTAGAATCTCAAGCTAATGTCAAAACTAATGGAGACAACTGAACCGAACCGAAGGAACCACGGATCCTCTGCTAGTTGCTTCTATTCCTTAGGCCACATCCGTCCTTTTTTAAAATGGGCCAGGCTGCTCTGGGCCCATTGTTCTTCTAATGTGTATGTGAGAAGGGATTTTTTTTTTCAGTACCAGAGATTAAACTCAGGGTTACTTAACCACTGAGCCATGTCCCGGCACTTTTTTATATTTAGAGACTAGGTTGCTAGGGTCTCACTAACTTGCTGAGGCTGGTTTTGAACTTGGATCCTTCTGCCTCAGCCTCCTGAGCCACTGGGATCACAGGCGTGTGCCATCGTGCCCGGCAAGCAAGAGATTTTTATTAATTGCTGAATGGATCAGTGTCCTATGAACTAAGAGGACAAGGAACCTATAGGCTGCACAGGTCAAATCATAACACTGATATTTTTTTCTTTCCTAAAGGTAATGTCAGTAGAGTAGAATTCCCAAAGATGTGACTCGGAGGGTGGTGTGCTCCTGCCATCAGCTGTTACCCCACCCGTGCTGGGAAGCATGTCTGAGAACAAACACTCTCAGATCAGGTTTCCTGTCCCCACTGGCTAGCCAGGAGCCTCTGTGATACACTCTTTTACATCTACTCATTCGGTGACTGTTGAGTTTGATCTCTCTCCTAGGGTTTCTCATGCTGGTATGATTAACGTTTTGAAATGAGTGTGTTCTTATTGAGGAGAAAATCGTCATGAATTTACTGAGAGCTATGTACTTGGATGGCCCTGCTGTCACCCTGGTGTCCAGGCACTGTCCCTGTCATTCACCATGCTTGGCTCTGAGGGACTCTGGCTGATTCCCACATTAAATTTCCCAATCAAGAGTTAAGAGGTGACGCTATAGTCACCTTTGAAGATACTAGAATGTGAAAAAAGAAAAAAAGAAAAAAAAGTGCAGAAAACAGGGGAGTTTGAGGATTGAATCAAAATGATGGTGTGATTCCACATCTTTCCTGCATTATTAAGAAGGCACAGATCCCAGGCTGCTCAGTCGACACGTGCAGTAGGGCCTGAAACTTAGAAAGCTGAGCAGAAAAAGGAGAATTACACACACATAGAACAGGAAACCAACGACGGTGGTGGACAGGCCAGAAATCGAGTCCCAGAAGCAAGGCAGGATAGAGACGCGAAGTTCTCCTGCCACCCTCTGGAGAGGTTCCAGGTAGGAGAGATTGGACACGTTCTGTATCAGCGCAAGGAATTCATCAGGGACCCAGAAGCAGATGCCATCAGAGACGAACTTTGTTTCAAATATTTCTTAATCTCAGAGCAGCCCTCAGGTTGGCTGGACTCCTGCCATGGCATGGTGATGAGGTTACCCAGGTATCATATAGAAGATCACTGATCAGTGACACTACAGAGATGGTTAAAGCACGAGGCAGAGAAGATGTGGTCTCCCAAAGACCTCTCACATGTGAAATTAAAACTAAACCAAATCCATAACATCAACACAATAGTCGAAACATTTAAAAAAAAAACGAAATTTATAACACCACAAGACTTAAATGGAAATTTCAAGCATCAAGGCCTTGCTCAATCCTAAGAAAAAGTAGCAAGTTAGAGAGTGAAAAGCCCATCTTCATCGTCCTGTCCATGATGCATGTCATTGAGAGCATTTTTGCTTTCTCCAAGTTTGTCTAATCTGTAAAGAGAAGAAAATCTGGTAAGGGAAAACACCAAGAACAGGGACACACACACACACACACACACACACACACACACACACAACAGATGCTGCTGAATTACCCTGCAACTGACCAAGGCCATTAGAGGAAATTGTGCTTGGAGTCCCTCCTGTCCAAGCTTCTAGGTTTAAAGATGAGAAAACCGAGACTGCAGGACATGAAGGGTGTTTGCCTAACTGTTTCAAGAAAATTGAAACTTTCTTAGCAAAATAAAATATACGATCATGGTCTATGCATCTATTTACCAAAAGGATCATCAAGTATGATGTTGGAAAGTCACACTGGGGAGCCTCTGTTTCCCAGCTTGTTGATGCTTATTAGTTAATAAACACTGAGTTCTCAATGCAATGAGTTAACGAAAGCAAGGCCTTCATCAGCAACCTACACCAAATCTTTTTCTTTATTTCCCAAAAAGCTATAGAACAAGTCAGATATATATAAAATTCATTGGGCAGAGGAATGAAATCCCAAGAATAATATTCTGAGTAGGTTTTTTTTCATTGTCCATCCTCCCAACTCTCCTCTCAATGAATTCCAATTTAACAAGATATTTTTAAAATCAATCACCCAGGGTTGAACAAAGTTCAAGCACAGTACAGTGACACCTTGCCTTCTTTCTTTTGCGTGCTATACTTCTATTAATGCCACCTGCCTTTGTATTTCCATTTTTTTAAACATATATAGTATTAACTGAGACAGAGGTTAATGTGAGCTAAATCCCCACAACCTTTCCACCTCTAAAGCCACATCTCTCCAACGCTGTGTTTAATCAGAACACAAGCATGAGTCATTAAACCGCTGGGTAGTATCTAATCATTTGTAACAGCTTGTATAATCATCACAACAGTCATGCAAGATGAATTACCTCTTGTGTTTCTGCAAACAACTGGTTTTCGTGACTTTCCCTGAAAAGACAAGGCGGCAATGTGAGGAGCGGGGCTGTGCTAGAAGGAGTGGGATGTTGGAGAAAGCCCAGTGCTCCCTTCCAGAGAGCCCAAAGGGAGGCCCCCCAGACGGATGGCCAGGAAGCCACCTTTCCCCAGGTGGAGGCTTGCTGTTTCCTGGGCCTAAGGAGGAGCCCTGAGTCACTCAGCTTTTCCCTCGTGAGGGCAACCCCAGGGAGCGGCTTCATTGATGAGTCATCCGCAGGCCCAGAAGTAAAGTTCTCATTTAGGTTTTCAAACACTTCTGTATGAGATCTACCGAGAATTTCCCCAAAACTATAACTATGACTTTGTGTGACAGCTAATATGGCTGATAGGCTTCCATGAAGTTCTAAATTTCCTTTTGTGGTGTTCACCTGGGACAGGTGTTGAAATACACGAATTTCACTATTGCCCAAACCCAGCTGAGATGGCTGCTAGTCTCATCTGGTGACCGGCTGCCCTGAAACAATAATTTCTCTCCATTTTATAAGGGGTATCAGTTACGGCCATGTGTCTGTAGTTTTCAAGAAAACCACAAACTCTTTGTTTCTTGGCTTTTTGCAGTGTTTCAGTGTCTTTGTCTTTCTTTGGTGGGGTGGGGTCTGTGTTCAAGGTCATGGACCAGCTTGAAGATTTATTACAAAAAAATGGACCCTGTCCCCTGAAAAATGCAGGTTCGAGCATATGAACATTTTTGCAAATGATTTCCAGGTATTTGCATCTCTCTGTGAATGATATTTGTAGCCCCTAGGTTAAGAAAGCCTGCTTTTAGGGAACTCAGCAGCCCAAGATCATTTATGGTTTTCTTCCTGGGGCCATCCTAGCAAAGGGTTTCTTCAGCTCTAAGACAGCAACAATAGTACCTACCACTTAAGGGAGTAAGGTAGATGGAATCCCTAGCATGTCAAGAGTCCTGGGTCAGCCAGGTAAACACCTGTCATCCCAGCAGCTTGGGAGGCTGAGGCAGGAGGGTCGAGTTCTAAGTCAGCCTAGGCAACAAGGAGGTGCTAAGCAACTCAGTAAGACCCTGTCTCTAAATAAAATACAAAATAGGGCTGGGAGGGGGGTGACTCAGTGATCGAGTGCCACTGAGATCAATCCCCAGTACCCCCCACCCCCCCAAAAAAAGAATCCTGGGTCAGGAAGCACACAGAGTAAGTGTCCAATCAGGGAAAATTTTTAAATTTTATTCATTTATTTATTTATTTATTTTTGGTAATGTAAACTCTACCAGGACAGTCCACAAAGCCATTAGCACCTTATGGAGATGCGTTTACCTGTAACCTCCCTGGCTGGGATGGGAACTGTGATAAGAGATGAGCCTGTTTGAGGATGGAAGATAGAGACCGGATGCAGAAAGTGTCCACGGTGGGGTCCCCAGATAGTCACCCTGCTCTGAAGGGCTCCTCCTTGCCGGTCCTGCCCAGCTTACCTCGCAGGAGAAACGTAGCCACCAACACCAACAGCACGAACCCCACGCAGGAGGCGACCATTACCACCAGGTTGGTCTCGTGGTTCTGGGGAGACACAGGCAAGGCAGTCGATCGGCCCACTCATTCAGAATGTCCACACCAGAGGTCACATCCGTCCCCATAATGCCTTCCAATCTCCAGCTATTTGACCACTTTCCACCCCGAGCTACCCAATGTGTCTCGATGTCCAAATAAAGTCAGTCTTACAAGTTAGGTTTTCAAAAAAAAATTATTTTTTTTTGTGAAAACCTGAAAGATCTTACTTATATCTCTGAATTTTCCTAAGTCTTGGACATGAGGCAAAGGGGCCATGAGGCTCAGGGATCGGAGGATGAAAAGTAGCCATGCTGGGTGCCTGCTGTGTCAAATCTCTTTCCCAGCCACTGCCTAACTCTGTGGGCCCCTGGGGGCCTGTGCAGTTCTTATCATGGCTGACTTGGGCTTCTAGAGAAATCAGGATTTAAGAGAAAATGAAGCTCTTAATTTCAATTTCAAATTTTCTACTGCAGTGATTCTCAAAGTGGAGTCAGGGAGCCCATGGGATCAGAATGATTCTTGGGGACATGATTTGCCATTTTCACTGTCTTTCTGTCCTGAGTTTCCCAGAGGTCATGTGACCAGCAATGACATCATTCAAGGCTCTCCCTCACACAGGATATGGAATGCAGGTGTGAGGCTCCCTCCAGTCTCCCATTAGGTATAGAATTGTAAAAATGTAAAAATAATGCTATTTTTTTCACTATTTTTTTACTTGGTAACAATATTGCTAGTTATCATAAAACATACTTTTTTCTTCTTTCTTTTCCTGTTTTTTTGTTTGTTTGTTTTTTGTTTTGTTTTGTTTTGTTTTTGTAGTACTGGGGATTTAACCCAGGAGCACTTTACTAATGAGCTATGTTCCCAACCCTTTTTTAACTTTGAGACAGGGTCTCACTAATGAGCAGAGGCTGGCCTTGATCCTGTGGTCCTTCTGCCTCAGCCTCCCAAATCACAGGGATTTCAGACGTGGGCCACGAGGCCTGACAAACATACACTATTTATCACCCACTGACCAGCCACACTCTCTATGTCCTTCCTCCTTTCCTGTCCCATTCTCCAACACACAGAATGCCCTAGGCTATGGGGATAGTGACGATAAAGACAGTAGATTGTCTCTGAGGAGACATCCCTTTCTTTTGCAGACATCTGTTCTGCCTGGACTTTTCACTCAGAGTGACTTCAGTCATTTTTATAATAATAAAAATAAATGAAGGGAACGCTGGTGGCGGGTGTAGACTCTGCGGTATGTCAATAATCCCGGGCCACACAGAAGGAGCTCGAAATGATTTTGTGTGTTTTTATATATTGTTTTTGTTTCTCTTTCAGAACATCTGCACTTGTAAAAGTGGCAATCAATATTATGTCTGCCCCGAGTACAAGTCTACAAATTATTTGAGTATTCTGTAATAGTTGCAATGCATTTTTTTCCCCCTGAGCAATTTTCTGCTCTCCCTAGTTCATCTATGCAAAACCTCTACTGTGGGTTTTTAAAATCTAAGTCAGATACTTCACATACTTCACAGGTCTTTTACCTCTTTTGATTTACTTTGCGTGGAACTTGTCATCTCCGATGCTGGGAAGGAAAGGAGAGAGAAATGGTTATATGTTTCCTATGGGAGAATAAAAAACTACCTCCTGAAATCGTTCTTTCAAGGCCCTCTGGAATTTCAGCTGATCTGTTTCATGCTTTGATACCATCTTTCCTTTTTTCTGTAATTGACTTAGGCATATCTGTTTGGACATGGTTCTAATTGGAAATTCATCTGCTCTCCAACATCATCCCCAAGGAACATCCCCATTGCAGAGGTAGGAATGAGACTCTCGGCTCTTAAGTTTTCCCTTGACCCCCGCAGTGCCTTCAGGATCTTTTCCAGCATGAAAATCTGTCAGTCTTTCTGTCAGTTAACCCGTATTTATGGGGCATGTATCACAGGCTGCACACGGTGCTGGCCACACCTTACACCTCATAGGTACAACTCACTGCAGAAAACCAAATTTAATAAAAATGGAGCCAGGCCCCAGATAACAACATTTTGGAGAACAACGAACCACATATACAACAATGGTCCCGTCAGATGATAACAGAGCCAAAACATCTCCATAACCTAGTGATGTCCTAGGTGTCATATTGTCACAATGCAATGTGTTACATACCTGCAGTGGCATTGGTGTAAACAAACCTTCCGCACTGCCAGTCATATGAAAGGGTAGACATTTAATTATGTACGGTATACGATACCTGCCAACCCGTGCCTGTTATTGGCTTGTGTATTTGCTACAATAGAGCTTTATTGTTATTTTAGAGTATATTCCTTCTGATTTAAAAAAAAAAATGTCTAAAGCAGCATGCATGCCCTGTGACCCCCGCAGCCTCGTGACAGCTCATGTTCCCCATGTCTCTCCACTGCGTGATTTTCTCTTGTGCTCGACTTGATGTTTTTCCTTTGTGACAGGTCAGAAGCAATAGGCTGTGCCACACACATCAGGGCCACTTAGCCCAGGCTGTACCCTGCAGTTTTATGTAGGCTACACTCGACAAAACCCCCTAATGATGCATTTCTTAGAAGGGTCCCCATCATCACATGACACAAGGCTGTTATGTAAGTGATGGAAAAAGATAATCAATCGCAACTGTGTGAAATTCTGTGAAGAAACTGCATGGGCTATCGGGGTGTGTCTAGGATGGCAGGCTTGTTCTGAAGGGCCAAGAAAGCATTCATGTGAAGGGCACGCTTCTCCTGAAACGTGGAGTTAATCACTCATAACTAACAACATAGCTGAGTGACAAGGGAACTTTACTGAGAACCTACCCAGTGCCAAGAACCATTCCAGACACTAAGAATACTGAGGGGTCAAAAGATTATTTCAGCCTCCCAGACCAAGGTGGTAATGTGGCACATGGCTCAACGTGGCATTCAGTGAAGGTCTTGTTTGGATGGAGCTCCTCGAGTCCCTTCTGCCTGTTCATGCTGGGACCCTAATGCTGCCTGTCACATACTTTGATGCTCACTAGATGCTTATTGAATGAATAAGCACAGTTAAGAATTAACCAGGCAGGGAATAGTGACCCAGGCACTCCCTGGTTGCAATGGTGACAGGGAAGTTACAGAAGCAAGAAGCAACATGGTGCCCTGTCTGTGGTGAGTGGCCGTGGGCAATACCAGGGGCCGGAGTGGCAGCGGACAAGAAGGGTGGACAGGAACCAGTCCAGGAGGGTGCTGCTGGGAAGTCTCCCTGAGTCTAAGGTAGGGAGAAACCACAGAAATGTTTTGGTAGGATAGGATCCAAGGCGGGGATAAGGGACCAACCCAGCCAAGAATTTTTTTTTCCAGGTTTGAAGTTCAGAACGCGTAGAAATGAAGGGCAACAGGCAGATATCAGAACTGTTCAGTAGGGGGGTGACAGGATATGGAGACCGAATGTGGGGTAAGAAAAAGGTTAGAGTCTTCATTTACTCCCAATTCCTACTTGAGTCACGAAAGCACTACATAAAGGTCAGCCAAGACGGGGAACAGGGACAAGAAAGCAGAAGTGCAAGTCTAGGAGAGAGAGGGGTAGAGCTCAGGGAGGTCAAGGAGCTTAAGGTACCCCCGGGACACACACACACACACACACACACACACACACACACACACAAGCACTACCTGCCTAACAAGCAATTGATGTATTTGAATGAAATTTTTGGAAGAGTGCATTTGGAGATACTGATCTGGGAGTCATCAGTATCCAAGGAGCTGTTAAAATCCTCAGAGTGAATAAGCAATCTAAGAGCAGCCTGTCCAGAGAGAAGAGCAGGAACTGTGGGACTCATCAGCATTAAAATGTGGGCAGAGGAGGTGGAGGAGGGAACAACCAACAAACAAGAAAACAGTCAGAGAGATCAGAAAGAGATGTGCTGGAAAGCAGAGCAGGGGGAAAGACCTCCAGGAAGACACAAAATCACATCTACAATAAAACCCTGAAACAGAAGCCGAATATAAAAATCACAGAGAGAGAGAGAGAGAGAGGAACCTGGATACAGTAGACTCTAGGCTAATAGTTGCTAAGATGGATCATTAAATCCACCACCCCGTTCCAAGCTTACTTGCAGTTAAGGCTAAAGAAGAAATGTGCTGGCTTGTGTAGGGCTCATAATTGGTACCAGAGAGCTTATTTGTTGTTCAGGGAAAGCGACTTGTCGAATGCCTAGGAGCATCAAAACCCAAGGAGGAAATTCAGCCGTGTTTTCATATCCTACAACTAAGTTATTGTTGTTTTTCTCTCTGCTATTATCCCCTGGAGCTGGAAATTGCAGGTAAGAATTCAAAACTCCTACTCCTGTTCTGTCAAAAGCCTGTTGCATTGTAATCACTTGTGATGGATAAACCTGAAATTGAAACCATCAAAGGGAAAAGCCAGCCTGGGTCAGTTTTATCAAATCTAATCTGTGTTTTAAATTGCAATTGCCTAATGGGAGAGACATTTTGCAAACACTGACACTGCTGCAGGATACCAAAGAACATATTTTTTTTTCCATTCTTCTTTGGAGCAGACTAAAAGCCTAGAAGGAAAGCTCGCTAGGGGCTACAGCATTGTATGCAGAATAGCAATGAGAAACTCCAGTCAGTGAGAAAAGGAGCCATGCTGGTGGGCAGGGATGGGGACTAAGCAAGTCGAGACCCCTGGCTTCCCTGTTGGCCGTGTCTCCTCAACCTCAGATTCTCCAGGCTCTGGGCTCTCATACAAAACAATCAGACAAAGACAGAAAACTCCCAGAAGTTTCTAGAAAGCAGTTCTGAGCAGGGCATTGTAGTGGGTTGAACAATATCCCCAAACCATGTCCACCTAGAACCTCGGACTGTGACCTTCTTGGGGAATAGCCTTTGCCCTCCTACCTCTCTCACTATTGCAAAATCACCACAAAGTGAACCACAGACCTAAATGTAAGACTGAAATCATGAAACTACCGGAAGAAAACAGAGGAAACGTTCCAGGATATTGGAATAGGCAAAGATTTTTTTTTTTTTTAATACGGTCCTCAAAGCACAGGCAACAAAAGCAAAACTTGAAAATCGGAGTCATAGCAAACTAAAATGCTTCTGTACAGCACAGGAGAAGATCAACAGTTAGGAGACAACCTTGAGAATGGAGAAAAGATTTGTCAACTGTTCAGTTGACAAGGGATTAATATTCAGAATAAATGTGGAACTTGAACTCAAGCATCTCAATGCCAAAAAAAAAAAAAATAACTGATTTAAAAACGAGCAAGTGAACTAAAGAGACATTTCTTCAAGAAGAAATACATATGATCATCAGGTATAAGAAAAATGCTTATCACTAATCATCAAAGAAACACAGACCAAAACCACAAAACCAAAATCACCTTACTCTAGCTAGAATGACTATAATTGGAGAGACCAAAAAAAAAAAAAAAAAAAAGTTGGTGGGTAAGGATTTGGATAAAGGGTAACAACAGTACAACCATTATGGAAAACAGTATGGGGTTTCCTCAAAAAACTAAAAATATGATCCAGAAATATCACTACTGAGTATATCCAAAGGAAATGAAATCAGTATGTCAAAGAGATAGTTGCACTCCCAAGTTTAATGCAGCACCTTTCATAATATCCAAGATATGGAATCAACAAGTTATCGACAAACAGATGAACAGATAAAGAAAATGGGATATGTATACAATATACAAAGGAATATTATATAGTCATTAAAAAAGAATGAAATCCTGTCATTTGCAGCAATATAGAACTGGGTGACATTATATTAAGTGAAATGAGTCAACCACAGCAAGAAAACACTGCATGTTGTCACTCATATATGGAAGCTCAATATGTTGATCTTGGAGAAGTTGAGCATAGAATAGTGGTTACCAGCGAGACTGGGAAAGCTCACAAGGAAGGGAGAATGAAAAGTTGGTTAATGGTTACGGAGGAAAGTGGGTAGAACGGATAACTTCTCATGTTCTCCAGTAGAAGAGGGTAACTGTTCTTGATAACAAGTAATTGTATATTTCATAACAGCCATTAGGATTTTTGATGTTCCAAATAAATGTTTGAGGTGATGAACATACCAGTTACCCTGATCTGACCAGCACACACTGTGTACATGTATTGAAATATCACAAGGTACCCCACAGATACGTAGCATTATTAGGTGTTATTTAAAAATTTTGAAAATCTTTTAAAGAAAAACTTTTTTCTGAGCTTACACATTCACCAAAACCTCTGATTAATATTAGATTTCCCTTTAGGGCAAGCATTTATTTAAATGAAAAACACTAAATTAGGGATTTCTTGGTAGTTAGAATTCTTGCTATAAACTAGTGAAGAGGTCTCTTGATTTCTTGGTAGGCAAGGGTACTTGACAAAATGGAATTCCTGTAACAACCCTGATTTTAGAGGACTTCCAAGTCCTGCCATGTAACCTCTCTTACTTTGGCATCCAGGGACCCTCTCCACCATCAGTAAGTGCTTATCCCATGCTTGCTAGCTGTGTGACCATGGCCAGGACACTTCCCCTCTCTGAGCTATTCAGCCTTCACCTGAAAATGCTGACATTTTACCATCTGATCTCCTATGT